GAGAGAGAGAGAGAGAGAGAGAGAGAGAGAGAGAAAGAGAGAGAGAGAAAAAGAGGGGGGCGGGTGCAATCAGAAAAAAAGACAGACAAACCAAGAAAAAAGGCACACATGTTTCGAGAAAGGTGTTGAGAATCGGAGAAAGAGCATGTAGTACTTGGATAAACGACAATTTGAAGCAGCTGAAATCAACGAATCTTTCTCTGTGAACTTGCAGGCTATGAAAGAAAAGAGGAGGAGCAAGAGCTCAACACGCCATTTCGCATATTGTGTATGCAAATATTGTGCAGATGCGTGCAGATGTGTGCAGTGGGGGCAGACCATAGACTTTTCTTAAAACAGCCTAGATAGTGCGCTCTTACGTATTTCCGATTCACTATTGAAGTTGCCATTTGAGCCAAATGAAAGAGAAAAAAGGGTTCGTGTTCTTGGGGAGGGAGAGGGGGGGGGGTTGTCATGCGCTCTTGGATGTTGCGAGAATGACGTTACAATGGTGCGGAATTACAGATATGTCAAGTTAGATTACTTCCTTTAAAAAAAATAATTTTTAATTGCCCTTCACTAGAGCATAAAAGCACAGCCCACAATGCGCACTATTTGCAGCGAAGATTCCAGAAAACTCGAAAAGTGGCAGCTACGAGTATGACAGGGTGGGATCTAAGAACACAAAGCTATGGCGCAAACGTACTCAATACCGGACTGTGTTGTTGTGTGTTTGTCATACTGTCACTCCAAGCGGATAAGAATGGCAAATCCTGTCTTTTCTTTGAGCTCTCACTAGGGCGGATTGTTCAACCGTAACTTGCATTTCTGCCGGGCTAATTATTTCTATTTCCTTTTTCGGTCAAGTTCCACGCTTCTCTGTTTATTTGCAATTCTGATATTCGACACTCAGAACACAAGCACAGCAGGGGATGTGAAGACAGAGCTTAACAATAGAGGGGTGGAGAATTTGTGTCCGAACAGCAAGCGTTGTTCGTGTTAAAGGAATAATCTTTTTTCCCATTAAGATAGATAGATAAGATGAGACAACATTATATTGATTTACACAAAGAAAAAATTCCTCCTGCATGGTCAAGACAGATTATGCACACATACACTTAAACACAAAGACACACACACACACACACACACACACACACACACACACACACACACACACACATACACACATACATAAATACATACGTACACATACTCCCTATCTATCTATCTATCTATCTATCTATCTATCTATCTATCTATCTATCTATCTATCTATCTATCTATCTATCTATCTATCTATCTATCTATCTATCTATCTATCTCACACCTAAACATACACACATACACACAAAGTACACACGCACACACACAATCACACACACAAATGCGTAGACACTTGTACAAGCTGACAAACACACACACACACTCACACACACACACACACACACACACACACACACACACACACATATATATATATATATATATATATATATATATATATATATATATATATATATACTCATATCGGAATATCTCATGAGATCTTTGATTAGCAAATCTACACACAGCATTCACAGACTACCATAAAACCTAACAGAGAACACACAACATACAACCTATCCACTCTATAAACGCCTGGTCCAGCCGTGCATTTAGTTACCATTACGTTATTGCCAGGCCTCGGTTGTGGACACAGTCCAGTGATCTCCCGCTAAGAAGCCATCAGAACTTTAACCTTTTGACTCTCTTCCAAAGCTAAACGTTATTCTTCCTTTCTGAGGAGTTGAGAAGGAGCTCGGTTTTATTTTTTCAAAAATTAGTGAGCTTTTCACGGCACTTGCAAAACAAATAGTCCTCATATTATATTGTCAAGAGACGCAGAGAACGAGAGAGAGAGAGAGAGAGAGAGAGAGAGAGAGAGAGAGAGAGAGAGAGAGAGAGAGAACTAGTAATGAAATGATAATGAATTTGTTTATTTGTCTTTGTGAGTTTTCCTCGCAACATGTTACAGCTTTTTATGCCTGGGAGATAGAGTCTATCCATGAACACAAAATCAAAAACCTTGGTGCAGTAGCTCTGGTCGAGGTTAAGCTAACTGGCATCTCACTATGCCATCTCACTCTTGAAAAAACTATTATATTATAGTTTTATGTCTAGCAATACGGTAAGTACCGAGGACAAAGTAATGCATCTGATGATATTCATTCTACTTTAAAACCTTTTTAGCACTAATTTGTGCACCAACTAAAACGAACATTTTCTTCTTCTCATGACTCTCGAAACATTGACCAATTTATCCTATGTGTCTTTTCGTTCTTTTTTAGTTTGTTAACCGAGAGCTGATCATCACACACACACACTATATTTTGATCACATTGCTTTATAGCTAGATCTGCTTAAAGACCTGTAAGATACGGTGTTTTCGTGAATTCCCATTTAATCGGAGCACATTATTTAACGCCATCAGAGCACGACGCGACTTTCAAAAGCTTGAAGTTGAAACGCCTTCAGGAAAACAAAAACGATTCAAACCAGCCCGTCCAATGGCAGCGACAAGCTGACACACTGTAGAAGACGTTTTCAGTCAAGCTAGAGCAACACCTGTAATTTTGTTATCGTTCAGAATCGTATATCTGCACTCAAGGTTGCTTGACAGGTGATTTCCTGCCGCATACACGGTCTACAACCGGATCTTGTTATTGAAATTCACTGTCGTTGGCGAGCCGTTTGAATGCAGTAATCCTAGAAAGCAACATTTTTCAAGAGAAAGAGAAAAAGATAGTAAATACTTATAACAAATGTACCAGCATTATGTATTTGTTCTTACTCTTTTGAACATGTACATATAGAATTTGAATTTGAACAAAATATTTCTTTAGAACATACAACTGACTCCACGGAATTAGAAACGGAAATACCGAAAAGACGTCAAATGTTGGGCTTTGTACACGTAAACAGCTGGCCAGCAATTAATAATTTATTACACACAAACATTCCCAAACCAAAGTAGAGATAGAACAAACTCACTTTTTCTGGCTTTTTCGGAAAATTGTATGACACTGGCATAAACAAGCTTGGCACAATTGCAGAATTTATTTTGTTAGATTTTTTAAAAATATAGATTTACTCGCAGCCAACGACATAAACAGAATAGGCCGGTACACTCCGAGCAGTTCAAATTTGTAGTAGGTACCGTATGCGCAATGAACCAATCCCCAAGTATATCCGTCTCTCCCTCTCTCTTTCTCTCTCTCTCTCTCTCTCTCTCTCTCTGTCTCTCTCTCTCTCTCTCGTTGTTTTTTCTCAGAGCCGAGTGGAGATCTCATACTATATCATCATTGTCCTCTCCCCCTCCCCCTTCCCCATTTCTTTTCCTCCTCAGGAATAGAACACAATTCTGCTATGAAGGATTTTTTTAACTTCGAAACAATCCCCAAATATGGAAGATAACCGTGCTGAGAAAACCATATAGATAACAACAATTTTACTTTGTTTTAGTAAGAGTTTAACTGCACTTGCAACACAAGTACTGTAGGCCACATAAGGGTCGCAGATTAGAGGTATTACTAGAAAGTAACATACAAAGAAAAGAAGGAGGAGAGATATATGTGATGAATGCTTGATAGAAAAAAGGAGCAAGCCACACCAGAGCACCCGCCAACCACCCATTAAAACATATAAGTTTTGTCTTCCTCTCAGATAAAGGTAACCAGACCTCCTCTCTGTTTATTTTTGTAAAGCTAGCTTTTTCACAAAGTTTGATGCCTTCTTCCATAACTAGTATACGCCTCCAAACTTCAGTGCTCCGTGCAAGACCCAAGTGCCTAGGCGCAAAATGCAAATGAGAAAGTATTGAAGTCTAGATGAAAGATCGTCCTGAGTTTACAAAAGATGGATCAGCATGGTAAACGTGCTTTTTCATCTATGAATTTGTTAAAATTAATTTTTCTTTTACATTTTGCGAAAAACATGCCTGTGGGAGGTCCGTAAATGTGTCCAGTTTTTACTGCATATTAATCATTATCAAACGTGCTCAATTAACCAATAGAAAAGGCTCGACAAACTGAAAATAAAGTTTCGACTTCAGCTAAAGTTTTTGCAGCAGAGGTCGTACGCAGCTCAGTCACGAAAACTATATTACTATAAAAATATAAGCATCATTTACAACCAAATGGAAACCAGACGCTCAAACATGTGCGAAAAAACCCAAATAATGGACACACAGACACTTATTTTGTTGTCACTTTCTAAAACGCTCATATTTAGCAGTATTTTTTTAAAATCTGGCACACGTTTTCATTACGGAAAACTAGTAGGGAGACAATATAGAATATTATTATAATATTATGACTTTGATGTCCAATTATGAAATCACACCCAGAGCCATAGGAATAAAAGTCCACGACCACTCAGCACGTTCACCGAATGTTAAGCCTCGATAGTTGGGACAACACTAGCGCCATTCGTCAAAGCATTTCATTTTAAAAGGCGTAATGTATTTTTAACTAGGCGCCTGGCTGTTGAACAAACAAAACTTATCGATTTATCGACATTCCTTTGCACAACAACTGACATTAATTAACGAAAAACCAATACTGAGGAATTTGCTTAGCACTTTTTGGACAAAGAAACAATATCAACATTGGTATGTAGACTAACATATTCATTACCTAGAGGAGAATACCAAGACAAGGTGATAACATATTATATTAGGTTGGTCAATCAAAAATAATAATCCTTTCTTCTTACACAAAGAAGTAAGTGGCCTTTCATCGCATTCACAATACACACACACACACTCACATACACACACACACACGCACACACACACACGCACACACACACACACACACACACACACACACACACACACACACACACACACACACTAACACACACACACACACACACACACACACACACACACACATTCCCCTTCGTATCAAAACCCAGCCTTAGTATGCAATATTTTGCAGAAAGTGCATTTTGTTGGTTTGTTGTGCGTGTACACCCCATTTGCATTCACCACCACGAAGGATACCTCTCCTTTGCTGAAATATAGCACCAGGAAAAAGTAAGTGAAAGGAAAAAAACGACTTAAAGAGTAAACAAGAAAAACTTGATCTATCTATACCTCGGTGTAAAAGGAGCAAGCAATTTCAATGGTGCCTATCCATGCATGAGCCCTCAATTTTGTTTGCTTGCAAACGAAATCAGAGAATGCAACGCCCAAAAAAGAGGTCATCTCATGTAATACATTTCAATAGATAACGGTGCAGCAGTTGAAAGTGCTTCGTGAATAATTTGCATTCGATGCAATTTATCCTACTAGGAACGCCGTATTTTCAGAAGTAGTTTTGGTTAGAGGAATGAGGACCGTGTGGTCTCTTTCTCGCTCTCATTTAGTCTACAGTTTACCCATCATTAGGATAGTTCTTTGTAAATAGACGTAATGCTTCCTTGCATATAGTTTTAAGTGCGTGTGTTTTTGGTTTTTTTTAAGGGGGTGAAAAATTATTAACCTTAAGTTTGTTTGTTTATTTTGTTGTTGTTTTGTCGGTCTTTTTAAGGGGGGGGGGGGGGGGGGGTATCCCCGAAATAATGTAATCTGCACGTGGGAATCTTTTTCAGACGTTAGCACCTTTTGTGAGTCCCTGTTCCTCTCTTATACCTTTATATTTAAGGTTACCATAGAGCAAAAAGACTGTACCCTCTTTTTTCTTTTAAACATAGATGTTTTACACCCCCGTCTACATAGCTTAGATGATAATATAGGATGTAGAGTTCGACAGTACCTGTCAGGACAACCCAGGCTAAGTGGGGATAGTACAGCCTACTACAACATCCCCATAGAAAAACGGTGATACTCATTTTAAAAAAGTAATTTTTCTCCATACAGGAATCAAACAGATTTTCTACGTGCGACGATGAAGCGCCTAACCTCTACATCGCAGACGCCATGACTTCAACATTAACAATTGTTCCAAGTAGGAAGCATATCCCCCCCCCCTCCCGTCCCCCTTACACTCATCTTAAAGAAAACAACAACAAATACATCGTGAAACCCCAAGCAAAGCTTCAAGTACAGGATGAAAAAAAACCCCACACACTTCATCAATACACACTCTTGAGGCCAATGGGAATGCAACCAACTTGTATTTCACATGCTCCTACAGTGGCGTCCAAAAGAAACTTGAAAATGTAATCACCCAATCAACGTGTTAAAGCCTCGCATTACCAAGTCGTGTGATCTATAAGTTTAAAGCTTAATACTTTCTGCACCATTTGACACCTTAATAAATCATCTATAACAATAATAAATATGGTCACTCAAAATTGACCTTAAAAATCAGGCTTGGCAACATTGTGCGAAAGCAAAGAAACGTAAAATTTTATCCGTGCATGTATTGAGGAGTATCAGTATTGATAGAATGGACAAATATAGCATATCCAATGAATGGAGAATTTTGTGTTTGCAATAAACAATATTTTGTTACTATTGTCACGATAGTTTCAAACAAAACGGAAAGCAGAGCAATCACAAACACCATGCAAACTTGGACTTAACATTAAATATGCTCTTTGTTATTTTGCTTAGGAGCCATTGGTTTTGTTTAGTGCACGAACCCTTTGGTCATCAGCATAATTATGTGCCGTTTCATTCTAAATTGTCACAGAGAGTAGCAAACAAAGGGTCTGTTTTGGGAACACAGTCGCTTTTCTTCAGCTGCTGTTTCAGGAGACTTCACATACCTGTAGGATTCAAATCGGGGTTATTTATTGGTGACCACTCAAACGTTGATTTAATCTGGTTTTCAAGACATTGTCTAGTGGCATTAGCACTGTGAGAAAGTACTTTGTAATACATGGAGAAGGCTACTTGAATGACACCATGACGAAAATAAGGGTAAGACATGACGTTCCGGCACTTGCGCAATGTAGTCCACTAAACCAAGCTAACCATTAAATTCTCAGGAGAGCGGTTTTGTTCATTCCACCCCAGACTACTCAAAATCATGGCAGTTTCGTGGCCTCTGTTCCTCACTGACAGATCATTATGTGCAAAATCTAGCTAACATAATCCGTGGTGTGGGCAAAAAAGGTTTCGTGCTCGACACGATGCCAATAGTTCCTAAACAAAAACAAAATTAAAACTAATGAACACATGCACCTGTGAAGTAAAGGTTTTGCGTGGTATTAATTGTGACTAATCTGTTTTCCAATCCGTTTGAAAATATCATTACAAGATGCTATTCCTTGTAGAGACAAGGATAATATGCTCTTTTCATTTGACATTCAATACAAGTCCTTTCCACCAATGTCGATGCACCTCAATACACGCGCGAAAACATTATTTTACCTTTCTCTGATTTCGCACAATTTTGCTTAGCCTGATTGTTTTAAGGTCATTTTTGAGTGAACATATCTCGGGCGTCTATTAACATAGATGAAATATTAATGTGTCAGATGACGTAGGATTTATTTAGCTTTAAATTGGTATGGTGTATGAATGGGTAGTACAGGGCTATAGTACGATGATTGGGTGATTACATGTTCAAGTTTCTTTTTGAAGCCACTGGTGAGCGCTGTAAAACTCTTACTAGACTAGCCTAACACACACTTGAAAGGTTGACGACTAGGACAAAAGACTTGTTGCCGTATTCGAGTTCAAAAGTAATTTAATATCTCCTTTTTGCGTACGGGGGGGGGGTGGCTTGCATAGTAACATAACATCTTAAATAGCTATTATAATAGCCGAGTGACAATATTATGCAATGTTTAACCCATTTATAAGAGATATGTGCACACCCTGTACTTTTTCATTATGCATACTCTGTTTAAAAATGAGTTTTTTAATATAATTTACAATGGACCAGTGGTCTTAAACACTGAATCAACATACTTACTTGCTTGCTTACTTACTTACTTATTTACCTACTGATATAAACGATTTCTTAACAATTATAAACAGAATTTGATTCTTCCAAAACTAGCATGCAGCGTCTTGAATCCAGAAAGGTTATATTATTATGTGAAGCGTTTTCTGCTGTTACACCGGTCTGCGGTTTTCCTTTGACAGCAGACGTGCAGAGCTGTTGATTCGTTCCGCACATTTGTTGACACAACTAGTCAACAGAGTACCATAAACTTTACGGTTCCGGAGTTACTAGAACTTCCTGGAATACTTTCTTCCTCTCTGTTTCGAAAAGTCGTCTACAGCTGTCTGTTACCGAAAGAGGTAAGTGAAAGCAGATTCTTTGCTTAACGTTTTAACTGTTATGTTTTGTTTTCGTTTTCGATACGAACATGTGGGGTTTTTTTTTAACTAAGCATTTTAAAATCTACAGTGTGTTTTTGTTGGGTTTTTTTGCTATGAATATACACCTCCGCTACTGTGAAGTATACTTCTTCTAGTCTAGCCAATCCTTTAAAAGTATTTTTAGAATGACAATGAGTGATCTGTCTCTCTCCCTCTCTCCCCCACCCGACCCCCCCC